TTACACCAGAACATAGTTTGACACATAAGAAACTTCATATACATGTTATGGAGGTTAATGATTACTCCAATTCTGAGGTGGAGGATATTATGGGTGAGGATTTGGTTGTCTCTTCACCTAATGAACCACTAATATCAGTTAATGCTTTAATGAAGACTGCTAGTTTCCGAACAATGAGGGTCACAGGTTATTACAAGAAAAAACCTCTTCACATCCTCATTAACAATGACAGTACTCATAATTTTTTAGATGTGCAGGTGGCCAAAAAAATGGGATGTAGAATTGACATGATTCCCTCTTTAAATGTAATTATTGCTGATAGGACTAAGGTTCAAATTTTGAATGTGGTTAAGAGTTTTACATGGATAATCCAGAATGCTAGCTTTTCTTCTGATATGATGTTGCTACCCTTAGGCTGTTGTGACCTGGTGCTTGGGGTGGAATGGTTGATAACTCTTGGTGACATTAATTGGAACTTTGACAAGCTAACTATGGAGTTTTTAACTCAAGGGAGGAGACATGTCCTGAGAGGGGCTTCTAATGCTAGGCTTAAAACAATGAAGAAGCAGCGATTGCATAAAATATTTTCTTTTGGTGTGCATGTGTCCATGTTGTAGTTGTGTGATGGGGAAGAAGATCTGTTGTTGAATTCTCTTACCACTCATGCACCTGAAGTTACCATGCCTACTAGTGTCGTAGATTTGCTAGACAGTTTTGATGACATTTTCCAAGAATCTACTAGCTTACCTTCTATGAATAAAAGACCTTATAGATACACTAAAAACCAGAAGGATATTATCGATGGTTTAATGAAAGAGTATTTGCAGTCAGGCATAATACAAAACAATAGTACTCCTTATTCTAGCCCAGTTGTGTTGGTGGGGAAAAAAGATGGCAGTTGGAGGCTTTGTGTGGATTACAGGGAGTTGAACAAGGCTACAGTGAAGAATAGATTTCCAATTCCCCTTGGTGATGATCTTCTTGATAACTTACATGGTTCTAAGCTGTTTTCTAAGATAGATTTGAGGGCAGGCTACAATCAGGCGAGGATGGATTTAAGGATGTGTACAAGACAACCTTTAAGACTCATGCAGGTCACTGTGAATACCTGGTTATGCCTTTTGGCTTGACAAATGCTCTAGCCACATTTCAAGGTCTTATGAATTCTGTATTTCTTGAATATTTGAGGAAGTTTCTGCTAGTATTTTTTTTATGATATTGTCATCTATTGTAAATCATTAGAAGATCACTTATTTCACTTACATATTATCTTTTCTATCATGAGGTCCAATTCCTTGTATGCCAAAAGATCTAAATGCTATTTTGCTGTAGCTAGAATGGAATCTAGGACATTTTATTTCAGGTGATGGCGTTGCAACTGATCCAGCAAAAATTGAAGTAGTTAAACAATGGCCTCTTCCCCAATCTTTGAAGCAGCTAAGGGGATTCCTTAGGCTAGCTGGGCACTATAGAAGGTTTGTGCATAGATATGGAATTGTGGCAAAGCCTCTTACTAACATGCTTAAGAAGGATAACTTATGTTGGACTCAAGAAGCTAAGTTAGCCTTGCAGAAATTGAAGGATCTATTAATCTCAACACCTATCCTTACTCTACCTAATTTTGAGAAGGAATTTGTAGTAGAGGCAGATGCCTCAGGTACATGTATTGGAGCTATTTTGATGCAGGATAATCACCCCATAGCTTTCATCAGTAGAAGCTTGAATATGTAGCAACAGTCCCTATCCACTTATGAGAAAGAATTGCTAGCTGTTGTCTTTGCAGTGCAGAAGTGGAGACATTACTTATTGCCTACGAAGTTTGTCATCCGAACAGATCATAGGAGCCTAAAATATAATTTGGATCAGAGATTAACTACATCATTCCAGCAGAAATGGTAGGTAAAGCTCATGGAATTTGATTTTTGTATAGAGTACAAACAGGGCCAGGAGAATTTGGGTGCAGATGCATTATCTAGAGGCGGCTTGGTTGAGTGTAATGTTATGTCTATGGTTCAACCTAATTCAGATATGATCACTAGAATTAAAGCTTCCTGGCAATCTAATTCAGATGTTCAAAGATTGATTTCTGAGTTACAAATTGATCCAAGTTCCCATAAGCACTTTTCTTGGGATAGGGGGAATTGAGGAGGAAGGGTAGGGGAATTAAGGAGGGGACATTTTGAAATGGCTACACTTTTCAACTTGTGGAGGCCATTTTGCTAGAGATGCAACTTTGCAAAGAGTCAAGGTAGTGGTCTTTTGGAAGGGAATATCCAAGGATGTTAAATTGTTCATTCATCAGTGCAGCACTTGTCAAAGGTACAAATATGACTATGCTGCGTACCTTGGGCTGCTGCAACCTTTACCTATACCTGAGTAGGTATGGCAACACATTACAATGAATATCATAGAGGGTCTTCTTGACTTGTGGGGCAAACAAGTTATTTTTGTAGTGGTTGATAGGCTCGCTCAGTAAAGCTGCACACTTCATGGCTTTCCATCATCCTTATTTTGTTGCTGATGTAGTTCAGAGTTTTATGGACAATGTCTTTAAGCTATATGGGTTTACTAACTCCATAACAAGTGACAGGGATCCTATCTTTATTAGTCGCTTTTGACAGGAGTTTATGGCTTACCAAGGAGTGTAAGTCCAGTTGTCTACTGCCTATCACCCACAAACAGAGGTGTAGTATGAAGTGGTTGATAGATGCTTGGAAACTTATTTGAGGTGCATGTGTTATGACAGTCCTAAACAATGGTCCAAGTGGCTTCCTTTAGCTGAGTGGTGGTACAACACAACCTACCACAGTTCAATTAAAGCCAGCCCCTATGAAATAGTGTATGGACAAGCTCCACCTGTTTACCTTCCTTATTTGCCCGGTGAATCTATAGTAGAACTGGTGGACAGAAGTCTGTAGAAAAGGGAAGAAATACTCAAATTGGTGAAATTTCATATAAGAAGAGCTCAAGACAGGATGAAGCAGCTAGCAGATAAGCATAGGACTAATAGGAAGTTGCAGATTGGAGATTTGGTTTATGTGAAGTTACATCCCTATAGACAGGTTTCTGTGTCCTTCAGAAGCAATGCTAAATTGGCCCCTAAATACTATGGTCCTTATCTTGTTTTGGATCAAATTGGTGTAGTGGCTTACAAGGTTCAACTTCCTTCTAATTCTCCGATCCACAACATGTTCCATTTCTCACAACTTAAGAAGTTTGTAGGAGAAGTGCCAACATTTGTTAATTGTCCAAGCACTGATGAAGAAATCACTCGTAAAAAGTTTGAAGCTATACTCGACAAGATGACAGTAAAAAGGGCTGATAAGGCTGTTTTACTATGACTTGAAGAAGAAGTTTCCAGGATTCGATCCTTGAGGTCAAGGATTTGCTCAAGTAGGAGGAATTGATGCAGGATCAGTATTAATCTATAATTAGCTTGTAATTAGATGTTAATAAGTTGGTTAGAAGGTTTACTGAGCAGTGCCACATGTCAATAGGTAGTGGCTCTGAAAGGTTGTTAATTTTGTTAAGCTTCCCACTTGGAAAAGCTATTAGAAGTTATTAGCAATAATGGCTAGATATAACTGCTAGATATAGTGAGAGGATGGATACTCATATAGGAGATTTTTCCATTACTTCTAAAAACTCTCTGAAATCTTTCTTTTTACGCTAATAATATCAGAATCTCTTCCTGATTGGGATTCTCTTCTTCGACCTTGGTTCTTTGGTTTTGTTCATAAATCCTAGAACTACAACACAATTCATCCTCTAAAACCTAAGAACATGTGAAAGAGCTGCCAACAGAATCACAATAATAAAAAGACTCATAATTGAATAAAGATATTCAAGTATAGAAAAGGGAATTAAGAATTAAAATATTTCCTTGGAATTTTCAACTGAATTATTCCTAGATTACTCTACCAAGTCAAAATTTGTGAAGTTAATTTGAAAGCTCAAGACATATCTTTTTCAGTATATTTTCTTCAGTAAGATCCTTAATATTTTGATTATCTCAATATTTGTTTTTGGTTTAGTCATTTGTAAAATTATTAAAAAAATATATTAGTTTTTCATTAGATCACAAAATTATTTGTTTGTGAAAGAACATTGTTTTCTAAATAAATTAAATTTCTAACGTATTTTTTTTTGCAATCCTTTATTTAAAAATTCATTTATTTTGAATCTTAAATTATTTGTTGCAACGAATCAATTAAAGTTTGCTTCCAATTGGTTAAAATTTCTTTTAATCAATTAATTCTTTGAAACTTTCACAGTATAATAGAAAATTCGATTAATTACTGTTCTAATTAATTAAATAATTGAATTTGGATCTTCTACAAACATTTCGTTTTATATATAAAATGAGAAAGAAAAATCAATTTCACAGCAATGTTCAAATTCATCAAGAGTCCAAATTTTAAAAGTTTTTGCAAGTTAAACTCACTAAACATAATCAAAATTTAAAATTCATACCAGCCAGTTTGGATTCACATTTTCACAGCCAATTGTCAGCCGTCCCTCTAAATGCTACTTTGGTTGACTGTGCCGTTGAAGGAAAGTGGAACATATTGACTTAACTTCTCAAGTTCATGCCAAGATACAATTTACCGAGCTTTATGTGTTCTTGTACATGTTCAAGTTTAGTCATTCACTTCTGAGTAAATTCAAGGATCTAGCGTATGGGTACAGATCTATTGTAAGTTGTATTTTATTTTATTTTATTTTTTTGCCTAATAAGTTGTCTAATGTCTGGAATTTTTTTCTTGGTTGAAATTACGATTATTTAATGACAACTTGCTCATGTTCATTAAGATTATTCACTCGTGAAATTGGGGCACATCTATCAAGATTTCACTCTGCCATGGGATTAATTCCATAGGCCACTTGGGAATGATAAACGTTGACTCCACCTGTAATTTACAAAAGAATGATGTGATCGACACTACTCAGGATGCGACATTACATCTTATAAAATACAACTGTACAAAAACACAAATTTCCTATTGCCCTTTGGCAGCAGCTAGCTGTTTCATTAGGTTGAGCACCTCAATTCCTTTTGAAGCCAACTGATCTTTAAGCTTCCCTGCAGCTTCTCCGTATCTCTTATTCATTAAAACTGATTCATCGATTGCTTCCTTATATCTACAACGGAAAGCATCTAGCTTTGCTTGTGTTCCACGTAGTCGCATTCGTAGCTTAGACCTCTCTTTATTGTTTGTTACTTCATCCTGTTCATGAAATTAGAAGTTAAACATTTTACTAATGTCAACTTCTAAGCATCGGACCACTCCAAAGCTTAAGGTGGGCCAACACTTGCTCATCCAAACACACAATACAATTTGAATCTGAATATTCAATCCACATACTGTCATACCCTGAGAAAGCTAGTGCCTTGGCAATTGGTATATGTAATAATAAACAAAAAGCCACATTTGAAATGGCCAACCCAATATAGTACTTACTGCAAGCCTTTTGACTTCCATACAGGAAATTTTCTGACTCAGTTCCTCAACGTGGACCTTTGCCTTTGATACCTGAAAAAGAATGTAATTGTGATTTCTGCAATTAGTAATAATCAAAAGAAAATCTTATCAGCAAATACCTCATCCAGGCAATGCTTATGCAGAAATTCCATTTCCATTAGATGTTTCGGTTGATCTTCCATCTCAATCGTCAATTTGTCCTTCTCTTTTGTCACAACATATAGTTTGTTCTTGAGATTCTGTTAAGTAACTTGATGTTTCAGTAAAACTTATATTGCACAGATTCTGAGACCCATTTTTATTCCCTAGTCCCCCACCCAAGTTAAAAATACATTGACAATATTCTATGGACAATCTTCCTTAAGTAGTAAAAGTGAAGGATAAACCTGAAACTCATTAAAATTTTTTGACAAGGTATCTAGCTCTCCCGGGTGTGATAAAATATCTCCTTTATGAAGAACATGCATTTCCCTCTGAAGGTCATTTGCTTTCTCTTTCTCAGGATCATGTAGCTCATGCTCCAAAGATAGCAACTCATAATTGGCTTTTGGCATCTACAATACATGCCAATATGGTAGTGACAATTATGCCTTGCAGTAAATGACAAGCCTATTAAATTATTAACATATATTCCTTACTTCTCTGGATTGTTTGCTCTCAGCATTGACTGTTTCAAGGTGAATTTTCGGTTGATCCAACTCTAAAACCTTTTCCCTGTAGCCATAAAATAACACGAAAGGAATAGTGATTTAATTTATCGGACAGTTAATGCTGGCAAGTCATATTTGAAAAATAAAACAAATCAGCGAGTGGCAAATAGGGAGACTGTATTGACTACTCAAGCATTTCTAATTGGAAGTAACCAATGGAAACCACACAAGTCAAATATGGCTAAAAGGCAAAAGATGACAAGTTAAGATGGGTCGCATGTAAATTTTAGATAAGAAAAGGATGAGGGGAATGGAATTACAGCTGCATTACAACTTAACTAAGTCCACCGTTTTAAATTCTGTTTCAATTTGTCATAAAAAATCAACGTGTAAATGAACATCCCAAACCAAGAATTGTAGGATTCACAACTTTTCTATATTTCTGAGCCACTACCATCACCCTCCAGTCAAAGATAGCAAACATAGGCACAGACCAGCAGAAAATAATAAAGCCTTTTTCTCTTGGTGCTTGATTGCATTTTCATTTTCTCTAGGTAGCAAAATTGGCTCTTGCTGATTTTCTTTTACCTAAAACTCCTAAAATCTCATTTTCTACTCAATCTTTACAAATTAAATCAATTAAAGTTTCTTTTAGTCAAAACTAACCAACCAAACTATCAAATTTCATGCCAAAAAAACTCAATTTCCCCATTTCAAAGCCTAGTTCCACATCTAAAATCCTTCAAAGTTTATCTCGTTTCCACTAAATTTAATACTTTTGAACTCAAGCATTGTTGATGTCCAGTTGCAGAATGACCCTTGTATTTGTCAGAACAAGTGTGATTACTGTTACTGGGTAACAAGAGAAAATGTCTCAATGTAATCAAAGCCATGCTGCTAATGAAATCCCTATGCAACAACGCCAGCCTTGTTTGTAGTTGTTAATGGAGTCATTTGGAATTTTCTTTGATTCTGAAGACCATTTGCACATAGCCTTCTTGTAAGGTGGAAGGGTAATCAATGTCCAAGTATTTTTGGCAAGAGTTGAGTATTCAGCTTGCATGATTGATCAAAGAGAACATGCTTGAAAGAAAGTTCCACGAGACAAGATAAGAGTGGGATTGAGATGAGGCTTGCAAATTTCTGATTTTGATTTCGATATACACTGCATTAGATGAGTAAGCTGTAAAGAGTGGTTTAGGGGAGTTTGCAAAGGTTAAGGGTCAGAGTTAGATGCAGTGATGCTGTCAGATGCAAGAGGTTTGCTGGCAACAGTTGGAGCATTAGAAGGTGAAGAGAAATAAATAACAATCAGAGGTGAATGATGGCAATTGAGAGGACAAAGTCGAAGAGATGGGGGTGGGAAACAGACTTGAATAAGGTAATCTCCATTGAATAGAACATCCTTGGAAATATACAGCTTGCCGTTAGATGAGATGCAGAGAGAAAATGCTAGTTTATGTTGATTGCTGGGACTTATAAAAGGATAGCATGCATAGCCAAATGTATGAAGTGAGAGATAATACAATCTGTTAGTTTAGTGAATGGTACTTTTCCATTGATTAATTGTGAAGGCAATCGATTGATAAGGTAGAGGACAGTGATGAAAGCATGGTCCCAAAACTTGAATGGGAGTGAGGCATGAGACAAAAATGAGTCCCATCTCATCAATGTGGTGATGTTTTCCGCCCATGGTTCCATTTTGATGATGTGTGTGGGCAAATCACACAATGAATGATACCAAATGATGCTAGCAGCTTCAAGGAGGGTCTGAATCCCCATCACTGTCAGTTTAACTGAATTAATTTAAAAACCATACTTCTACCATGCATTTAAATATTTGAAATATAGATAATGCATTAGACTTGTTTTTAAGGAGATATAGCCGTCTATAGCAAGTGTGGGCATCCACAAACGTTCATTATACACAGCATTATAAGAGTTAAAGGGAAAGCAATGAGCTTTGCCTAAACAAGAAGTTGTACAAAACTTCACTTCTGTTTTATTCATGGTTGGTATATTACAATGTTGTAGTACTGTTTTTGAGAGTAGAAAGATGTGGGTGACCTAATCTATTGTGCCAAACAGTGTTGGAAACGGATCCGGATTCTTTCCCATTATCTTAGGAACTAGACGTTTAACTTAAGTGAAAATGAATTCGATTAGGTGAAAAAGGAGACAGCGATAAATATTTGTTTACCCTCTCTCTCCCACTTCTCTTTCTTCCTATATTGCAAACTTTCTCTCTCTCCACCTCCTCCTTTCTCTTCCCGACTCCCCCACAGCACCCTCCCTAACTCTCCCATCCCCCCTCCACCCACAGTCCACCCTCTCTCGAAATCTCAGCAAACTCCAATGACCTCTCACCTGCTCCCAAGCTTTCCTAGCCTCCACTTGCTCCCCCTCCCTCCCACCTGAAAGACTGTGACTACATGGAAGAGAGGTTATAATTTTTTTTTTGTTTTCTCCATTTTTGCTACGTTCAGTTCCCGTGTTAACAAGAGAGAATCCAGATTTGTTGGAAATGGGGTGAAGCAATAGATACAGTGGGAATCAAATGTGCAATATTAGAGGTCTTATCTGGCAACTACATATGATGAAACTTGTGAAGGTCATCGGCTCCAATTATCACTCCAAAAGCATTCGATGAGATGCCCGGGATTTAACAAAGCATTGGTTGGGGATGAAATTCAAAATATACAGCATTGTCTCATGCAAATTGACTCACTGACTAGAAACTTAGTGATGGATGGTACAAGTAATAGATTGTGAAGAATGAATACAATAGTGTGTAGTTGGAGTGGTGATTGGAGCAGTGAGCTATCGATAGAAGAAATAGGCAAACCTTGGTCATTTTCAATTCAATCTACATTTGATCAGGAACCTCATAAGGTATACTGTGTTGAAGGTTATCCACATGTGCAATTACATGAGGATGATGTGTTGAACCTTGAGGCAAAGATCCAGAAACAGTATTTACAGTGCATGGTTAATAAAGGTCACAAACACATCATAGTCATTGAGAAGACCATCTAAGATTGCATCAATATGGTCACATGCTAGAACAGGATTGCCAATTGCAACTAGTGAGTAAATGATGGCTTTGATTTGAAGTAGATACTCCAAAGCAGAGCAGGAACTTTTCTGTGTTTGGCAAAAGTACAAAAATGAAAAAAATCATGAATTTCATCTCATAGTTGCCAAGAATGATGACATCCAACAATTCAACTAAGAATTGATTCAAAGAGGAAAGATGCCATGAAAATAGCAATTGAGCCAATTGCTGTCACTAGGGACAGCTTTCATTGACTTAGCCAAGATCACAATCTTTCTCGTTGAGAAACTAGGGTGGAATTTGAGGATTGACAACAAATTGATGTAGGCAATGAGCTGTAATTGTAACACCCTAATTTTTATTGCTTTTATTTCAAAATGGAAGAGTTTCTGAAAAAAAAAAAGACGTTCAAGCGAGAATGGATCAAAATTTTTCACCTGTATTTTCGCTCAAGTGAAAATATCAGCAAAAGAGTAGCAAATTTTGTTTGGTTTCATTGCTCAAGTGAGAATTCTCGAGAAAAAGGGCATTTAAGTGACTTTATCATTTTAAAACTTATATCACAAGGCAAATAACCATTCCCATATCACTCTCTGTTCTTTCACTCTCTTCCCCAACTAGAAAACACCACTACTACCCAAATCCCTCTTGCATCCGAGCTGGAATATTTTTTCTTCTTGATTTCAAGTAAGTTATTGAAGCTTAATCTTTTAATCTCACTCTCATTTCATCATTTTCCTTCCACTCAAAAGTTGTCCTACTTTGTAATGCTTAGGGAGATCTTGGTCTTTTGGACAATATCTTCCATCAAAACGTTGCACCTTTCCTTTTGATCTCAAGAAGAACTTGGTCTTCAAGACATTTGTAATCCCTTTGTTGTGAAAAACCTATATCCAGGTAAGGGTAGTTGATTCCAAATCCTAAGTCCTATTTTTGTATTTTGACTTAGAAAACTCAAACGACCTTGTTCTGAATAGCAAAACTCTTGAAATTATAATGTTGAAAATGGATTCTTAGAGTATGAGAAATCTATGTTTTATTTTAGAAATTACCTAGATACAATTTTAATAGTAAAAGTTATGAGCAAAACAAATTTTAAGAAGTTTTCATGAATTTGTTATTTATTATCACGTATGTACTGTTAATGTTGTGAACAATATATGTATTAGAGAATGAAAATAAAAAATGCTAAACTCTAAGATAGGTGATTTTTATTAAGACCCGAGAGAGTGTGATTTCCGGCCATTGTAGTTAGTATCGCGATACTTGCGATGCGAAACGTCACGAATCAGGAATTGAACGATACAAATCGCATGTATGTATCGTTTTTGGATGGAATTGCAGCCAGAATCACAAGAATCGTAAGATTCAATTCTGAATCGCAATATCTAGAACTGCGATGCGATGCAATTGCGAACCAAGTCGCGCACCAGTTGGGTTGGGTCGACGCGACCTGGTTCACTGAAAACCTTTTTTTAACCGTCCCTACCAGACCCATTATATTACGTTGAAAAAAAAAAACCTTTGTTTCTTTGTTCTCTCAACCTTTGTTTTCTCTATTCTGCACCTTCCCTACCAGACCCATTAGAAATAGTGACTTGCTATTAGTTGCTATTATTTTTTGAAGGTATATATGGCTAATTTATGCAGTCATAATCCTTTTTTTTGTGTCATTGTGGCTGATTTGAAGGTATATATATATGGATGATTTATACTATTACAACTTTTGATGTCATTGTAATTGAGATGCCTTGAATCTTTGTACTATGTCTTATTTTATTAATTATACAATGAAGTATTTGATTATAAAGTGTCAATATATGAATGTATTAAATTTTTCTTTATATTAGAATATTTTTTATTATAATTTTAATAATGGTCATGAATCTTATGATTCACAATACGATTTGATTCACGATTCATCAAATAGGATTTCCAATTCACGATTCGAATCTCAATTTAACTACCATGTCTTTGGCAATATATCTGTGATGTGTGAGTTGATTTCA